CTCCTCCGGACCCCCCCCCCCCTCCCCCGCACGGCAAATTTTATTGCTTCCATTTGCTTTATGTTTTCTGGATTTTCCCCGCGATATCAATGTTTTACAGCCTGAGTTGCTTTGATTTTATGTTGTGCAAAACTAGTAGGAACATACTCCTCTCCATCTTATTCTCAACCTTATTTTGCTCTCCTCCTCCTCCTTTCTTCGCCCTGGCCTATCGTGCTCCTGCTGTGTCCTGTTGCTTGGTACATGCAGTAGCGTCTTGTTTATGCCAGTCATTTTTTCACCTTTCAACTCTATATCTAGTGCAGCTTAGCTTTAAATATCACAATATTAAGTTATAAACATAAAAACTATCATCAACGCTCCATTAACACAGGCTGATATCCATTTTGTGGCGTCTACTTGCTGAGGTTGTGCTTCCCAATGTCAAAATGCTGTCAATCAGTTTATTGTAATGAGACACATAGCAATTAAATCATGGTATGTGTGGGATTCATCTCTCACTATAACAAACACAAGTCTGATTATATCTACCAGTGTAGTGAGTCACGCTTTACACAACATAAGAGAGAAATGTGACGTAGTAACAAAACAGGATTTGAAGCATAGATTCGTTAACAATACATCTTGTGAGGATTCCATGTACTTTGAAGTGGTATGTTTTTTGCAGCACTATTTTGTGATGTGACTCCAAAAACCTTTATTTATCGCGCACAAACATGAGGAAACAAAGGTAGCATGACCAAGAAGCCCAAAGTGCTTAGTTGCGGGATGACATCCGGCCAATTATGACTCTTGTGCCTTTTGAGATACATAAATATGAAACACATAGAATAGTACGTTTATGTTAAAGCAGCATTTTGAAACTATTTGGCGTTTATTTATTTGATTGCTTCCAATTAATATATCCGTTTATAATAACTTGCGCAGATGGTTTCTGTACATAGACTTCTGAAGTTGTGTGTCTGTTCCGAGACAACTTGTTACGGACAAAGGGCAGAGACTTTGCCACGGCAAATTTTATTGCTTCCATTTGCTTTTGTTTTCTGGATTTCCCCAGCGAATCAATGTTTACAGCCTGAGTGGCCTTATTTTATGTTGTGCAAACTAGTAGACACATACTCCTCTACCATCTTTTCTCACCTTATCTCCTCCTCCTCCTCCTCCCTTTCTTCGCCCTGCCTAAGCTGACCTCCCCCCCGGGCCCAGTGCTGGTCATGCAGAGCGATGTTTGAGTCCATTCACTTCACATTATTTGTGCAGCTTAGCTTTAAATCACATAGGCATTATCACCCAACATGGACCATATCCATGTGTGCTCTCCAGCTGGCCCACTGACTCGAGTACTGTATGAACACTGCATATGGTATGTTGGCACACCATACCAACATTATATCTACCCATGTAGTGAGTCACGCTTTACACAACAAAGAGAGAAATTGGAGTAGTAACAAAACAGGATGTAATAGTAGACTTAAAATACATCTTGTGGGCATAACTTTGAAGTGTGTTATTTGCAACATTTTGAGTCATCAACCTCTTTATCGGACACACATGAAAACAAGAGTCAAAAGCCATGCTGTGAGGCTGTACTCCGGCACAACAGTGCTTTGAGATGAATGCTAAC